TCTTTTTTTTTGTCATAAATGCTTGTGACATTATTACAAATGAAATGAGTTTTGCTTACAAGAAAATTTTAAATATAATTTAAATCAAAAAAAAAAAACGACCATGCTTAATGGCAGTATTCATTTATCAAAAAAATGAACCCTGCAAGAACACGTACGTGAAAAAAATTGACGTATTAGTTTTATTTTATAATTTCGTCATTATTCCCATAATTTTTTTCCTTTATATCATAATTATTTGTCACTAATTTAGAAATTTTTCTTTTTTTTATTCAAAAAAAAAAAAAAAGAAAAAAGGATGCTGAAAATACGAAAATTTGCAATCTTTCTGTTTGTGTATGTTATTCTTACGAATGGAATAGGATAGATAGCAATAAGCTTGAAGATGGTGTAAAATTTGAAGATCAGAAAGTCTCTCATTCAATCCATTCTAACTTCGTATTGATCGGTTCTGAAAAGAGTTGATTTAAAGGTTTGTCGTCGTCATCATCCATTTCATCTTTTTGCACCACCCATTCCTTCATCTTCTTCTAACCAACTTTTCTCTTATCAAGCTTTTTAGCTTCCACGCATTTATATATATTTTAGTCTTTCTTTTACTTTTCATTCTCATAAAATTTCCATTTCTTATAGCATTTTTAAGCTAACTTTTTTTTTCATTCAGTTATTCCTCCTTTCATTTCATTCCTGGATGTAAGATTTTATGGAGCATTTTTTTAAATTAAAAATTTTTCAATTTAACAAATGCAAAGTACTTTTTCTATTAGAGAAAAAAATTTTTTTTCACAATTTTGAATAATTTTTTTATGTTTCCTTTCTTTTTTTGAAAATTTGGCATTACTTAAACTCGATATTATTTAAATTTGATACTGTTTAAATTTGGCATCAATTAAATTCGACAATATTTAAATTTAGCAAAAGAATTATTATTATTGTGATGAATTGAATTATTGTTTTAGAATTATTATTTTAAGCATACTTAATAAAAGAGTTATCATTTAGATTTGACATTATTTAAATTTGATATTATTCAAATTGTGTTCGTTTAAATTTGATAATGTTTAAATTTGACATTATTTAAATTTGATATTATTTCTCTATGAGCATTTACATTAAAATTTTCCTGTATGAAGAAGAGAAATATTTAACTAACATGACAGTTGTCTGTAGACCACACGCCATTAGTTTGATTACTCATACTATTTGGAAAAATATTAATTTTGAATAATAAAAAGGACAAAAAAAAGCATCCTTAATGCTAAAATTACATTTTTGTCAACAAGTTTTAAGTTTCTCTCTCTCTGATTTTTTTTCTTTTGATAAAAGTTAATTTTAAGTTTTATTATTTAATTTTTGAACTTTACTTCTGCTTTTTTCCGTAATTGAATTTAATTCTTGTTTTTAATTTTTTTTAACTTCATATTAGCATCATTGTTTTTATCAATTTTATTGTAAAATTTAAATCCTTTTCCTCAAATATGTTAGTAATTATTTATGATGAATGTATTGTTAACGTGAAGTTTAAGCACAAACATAGCTATGCTTCAAGGTTTACTTTCAATGTGAAGACATTTTGTATAACATTTATTTAAATTCTTATAACGTATACTTGAGTTCTTATAACATCTACTTAAATACTTATAACATATACTTGAATACTTGGAGAAATTTGTATTAGATATTTCAAGAATGCCAATTGCGATATGTACAGTTGTAAATGTGCGTATGCATCTTTAAGTTTTTGAAATTACTTTTTTAAAAATAAAAATGAGAAATGTATAACTAGCAATATTTATTCTAGTGGATGAATTTAAAGAATCATATCGAATTTCATCGTATCACAATTCTACTGATACATGTTATCATATCATTGATATGCAATCAAATAACAATATCCATTATAAATTGTCCATTATAAAAAAAAA